TGTACATGTTACTGGTAATAAACTATACCTCAAAAAATAACTTTGCTCAGGAGTAACCCAGATAAATCATGTATTGAACACATCTGTAGTTTCCAGGAATGCTAAAACGAACCTGCAGTAATTTTTCAGCCATCTAAAAATATGGTCTTATGAGAATCAGTCATTATGAGTCAAAAGAAAAAAAAAGGCTTATTTTCTCTAAAGCAATATGACAATATGTAAATCTACTAACCTTGGATTTGCAATGATTAATGTGATCATTTAAGAGCAACAAAAGTTTATTTTTGAACTTTATTTTTGTGGATAAGGAAGACTCAAGGATATTTATCACAGACATTTCTCTTTGTAGGAGATACTTATAATGATAAGTGGGACTACCAGTAATTTTCAACAGTAAGCTAAATGCTTATGAACGTGGGTTATGTAATTTAAACCTTAGAGAACTCCTGTTGTTAGGAAAGGCATTTTATTTCAGGGAATTCTTTCCTTTGGGATTATAATCACCAGTAGCTTCTTGTTCAAAATAAGATGAAAAGTAAACAAGATAATAAGAGTAAGTTTAAAAATGGAAAATGGAGATTGTATTTCCTAAATTAAAAATCAGTAAGTAAAAAATGTTATTAAGCCAAGTTCTAAAAGATTTTATTCCCCCTCTTTAATAGCAAAGACTGGAGCCTTGGTGCAGCACTGTAGGATAAGCCCTGTACTTCTAACCATAAGATCAGTGGTTCAAATCCACCACCTGATCCTTGGAAACCCTGTACAGGGCTGCTAGTAGTCAGAACTGACTTGATAGCAGTTAACAACAACAACAGTAAAATTGGAGAATCTTTCTTTTTACTCTGAATAATGCATTTCTTTTAAATTAGATTCTGTTTTGAGAAATGATCTTAAAAAAAGATGGCAAAAGAAGTGGGCAAGTTGGATTGCTTTTTGTCGAATGTTAGAGATGACTGCTCTTTTGCAAAAATCTTTATGAGGTAAAAGTATATATATATACACACAATATTCAACTCTCTGCATTTTAAATGAACTTCAAGACTTTCTAAATTTGACTTTTGTACCAAATGCCTGTTTTGACTATTTGATATTCAGTTTCAATTTATGAAACATTGTTGAGTACTTGCTATCTTCTCTTTTAAGGTGCAAGAGTTAAAAAAAAAAAAAAAAAGGTATAGTCCATTTCCTCAAGGATCTTAAAATCTAGTTATGGGAAGAAGATATGTGGGGAATAAAATAATTAAGATTGTGAGCACAGTTCAGAGTTAAAATGAAAGAGATGTCAAGAGGTCAAATGGTTACTTAACAAATATATTTTAAAGTAACAGCTGTGATTGGAATTATTTTTTGTTGTTGTTACAAAAATTCTACCTTCACAATTGTGACAATTGCAATTAATCATGATAACAATTACTATTGAATCATAAGAATCTTATCCCCATCTCCTTTCACCAGACCCATCTAGACAAGAAGAAAACTATTCAGTGAGTACTCTACACACTCTTAAACTAAACTCCCTCTTGAAACCTTGTAAGCCAGTCACTTCGTGCCTTTATCGCTCCCTCATTCTACGTAGTCAATGTTTAAGTTGCCCATCCCTATCTACCCTGTATACAGAGGGGATAGCATTGATACTAGATATGAAGACTCTTCCCTCTCTGTTGGTATTTTGAGCTACTACCTCATGAATATAGGTCAAGTTCATCAAATTGTAGCAATTTACCCTCATTTCCTTTATCAAGAATTGTTTTCTTTTATATGTGATTGGAATTTGAGGAATGAAATTGGACTCTTTTTCATTCTTCCTTCCCTTCCATTGGCCTCTGAAATGGTGACATAGCTATTTTCCTCTTTCTTTTTGAATTTAATTTGTATGAAAATAATTGTTTTTGTTGTTAAGTGTCATTGAGTCCGTTCCGACCCATAGCGACCCTGCATAGGGTTTCCAAGGAGCATCTGGTGAGTTTGAACCACCAATCTTGTGGTTCAAACCAACCTTGTGATCGAGTGCTTATCCTACAGGCCACACCAAGACTCCATTAAAATAACACACGGACTAATTTTAGGCTTCTGTCTAATCCCTTCCCATGGTATGTATGTTTTTGGAGGTCCAACCATTTTCAACTTCTTGAATTTCTTGGCAAAATTGTAAATATTTATTGATTTGCCAATTTAAAATGTCACCACTGTCACTTTACTGTGGAAGTTAAGGATTTAACTCACTTCTAACACCTCACCCATTCATACAATTACTCTCCTGATACACCTTCACTCTTCACTCTCTTGAAATAGTTTTAGGATGTATTTCTTAGATCCACCTTCAGTCTTCTGGTTATTACAATTCTGCTGTTCATTGCTGGTGAGACTCTGTGGGTTAATGCTCTTGACTACAAGGGCAATTTGAACCACAAGGTTGGCAATTCAAGCTCACCAGCTGATCCTCAGAAACCCTATGCAGGGTAGCTATCAGTTGGAACTGACTCGCCGATGCCACTTAACAACAATTGTTCACTGCTGAACCAAGTAGTGTCCTGTGTTTTCACATCTTTTCTAAAATGAACATATTTTATTTAAATAAATCCTCCAGTGGGAACTGAAGAGTTCATTGCTTGTTTTTGGAAGAAGGCTGAGTAAATACAATTTGTCAAATTTACCTGTACTGCTCACCAACGCTCCCTTATTGGAAACAACACTATTTCCACATCACAGTTCACAAAAGTCTCAAAATTCTGTGTTAAAAAGTCTCAAAACTTACTTCTGTCTTGATTCGAACCAAGCTTTATTAACGTTTCACTTAATATCATCATCTCCATCTTCATAAATTTTCTTTAGGACATTCATCAGTCCATCACTTGGATCTGTTTCTCTTTGCATTCTTTTTCAACCTGAGTCAGATAGTCCCACCAAGTGTTTTCAACTTTCTTTCTACACAAGATAAGGACTGTAGCAGACTTGATTTTTTTTTTTTAACTGCCATCTACAGAGAAGGATTTCAAGGCTATTAACGATAATGGACTAACTCTTCCCATTTAGATTCTTTACCAGAAGATCAAACAATGTCTGTGAAATACAGCTGCACAGTCCCAGTGATGGACTCCTGTTAAAGTGATGTAGGTTTTCACAAACTTATGTGACTGATCGCATCCATAAGTACTGATTTTCACTGTATACCCCACTGAAGTGGGAACAACCACAGCCACCGGCATTTCATTGACAACAGGGCCTGCTTTCCCCTGTGATTCTGCTGTATCTTGTTCTTGATTTCTGTCTCAGTCTTGACTTTTTCACCTGTAAGAGCATCATGTACTCTTTTTCTAATGGCCTTTTCTAGTAGCACCTTTACCTCTTCCAGATCTTTCTGTAGCTCTTTCAAACCAGAAGCCATGGTAGGGTTGAGTCAGACCAAAGGCTGGAGCTGCAGTTGTGTAGAGCACGCAGTGCCTGTGGAACCTTCACTTCCTTTTCTTGTCTAACTTTTTTGTTTCTTCATGCGATGTCTGTTTGTCTCTCTTGTTTATTTGCACAATTTGGTTTGAATGGGTCTCTTACTAAGTTGTCCCACATGTACCAAAAGTTTTGTAAAGCACATCTCAAATACATTTCTCACATGCTAAGGCCTGTCTAGCAACCTATCAATGGCATTTTATTTCTAAAAGACCTTCCTCTTGAAGCCCTTGATCCTGCTTTGATCTAGCTGGCTCCTGACTCTTGGGGATTCATGCATATTTGAAAGAAACACTGATCAGTTCTGCTCCTTCCATGTGATCAGTTGTTTACTGAACTGTATGATCCATAGGGTTTTCACTGTCTGACTTTTAGAATTAGATTGCCAGGGCTTTCTTCATCATGTAATGTCATCGAGTGAATTGTATTCCCCAAAATATGAGTCAGCTTGGCTGGACCATGACATTCAGTAGTTAGGCAGTTTGTAACACCCAGCGCTTATCCTACAGCACCACACCAGGACTCCATATATACATATGGATAAGTACCCAGCACTTATACTACGGCATGGCACCAGGACTCCATATATACATATGGATAAGCACTTGACCTTGGCGAGTTGGAATCACAGAGAAAACGTCCCTTACATGGATCAAGTCTATGACCTGAATAAGGGTGCTGCATCCCACTCTTCTCCCTTTGTTGTAATTAAGTGCCATCGAGTTATTTCTGACTTATAGTGACCCTGAATAGGGCTTCCAAGGAGCAGCTGGTGGGTTTGAATGCCGATCTTGTGGCTAGTAGTCTAGTGCTTATTCTACAGAACCACAACAGTGTGGCGCTATAGGATCAGCACTGGATTGATCGATGTAAGGAAAGTTTCCCTGGGGTGTGGCCCACATCACCTTTTGTAAGAACTAAAAGGAGAGAGCAGTAAACAAGAAAAAGGCACCTTAGTGCCACCAAGAAAGGAGAACTGGGAACAAAGCATGTCCTTTGGACCTGGGGTCTTTGTGCTCTGCCATTCCTAGATTCAGGTGAAGGTTGAACACAGAGAAAGAAAAAGCCTACCCCTTGGAGCTGGTGCCCTAAATTTGGACTTCTAGTCTCTTGAACTGTGACAGAATATATTGGTTTGTTAATGTCATCACCATGGGTATTTTTGTTATAGCGCATGAAGACACACCTCTTTAGTGTGGATGTGATGCTGAGACCTGCTCAGAGTCACAGCCAAACACAATCCTCCACTGACAGAGAGGCAGTAGTTACACAGGAAGTATCTGTTAGTTTTTTTATGAGAGGGCCTCTGTGAATGTCCACACACAGGGGACTGCCTGATAAGACATTAGGATGACATGGTGGGCATAGTGCCTTCTGAGTCTCAAAGATCTTGGACTTTATATTGTGGAGTAGCCTATACAGCGGGGTAGACAATCTTCAGAAAAAGCCCTTATCTAAGAAAACAGCACCCTCACTATGAACATCAGCGTCTCCTTTCAATCTTCCTCACCTGGAAAAATAAAAAAAAGCAAATATTCTCTTGATGTCTTACTCACAGAAAGGTGGGTCCACTGAATACTCCTCCAAATGCATCCTTGTCAATAACTGTCAGGTGTTTATTCTTGTTCAAGTAACTAGAGGAAGAAAGAGAGAGGCAGGGAGGAAGGAAGAGAAAGTTGGGTGATGGGGAAGACACAAAGAATCAGAGAGACAGAGAGAGAAAGAGACAACGAATGAGCCAAGGTTAAGTAATCATAACAAATTGATACAGATATCAAAACACATGTAACCAAATCTCCCTAACTGATTTTAAGAATTTGGAAAATACTTTATTTCTTCTGGATTAAGCATCCAAACATTGTGGATTTCAATTCTATGAGTTTTATATAAATTATACATTTTAGAAAATGAGCATGTATGTTTTGATCTAGTTTGCACAGCCAGATTTCATCAGAGTTACCTAGATTCCATATACACCTGGTCCATAGAAATTGCATTTTTTAATCCTCATCAGAACTAACTGGTTTGAATCTTGTTTCTCACCATTGAACAATATTCCCATTTGTTCTTGAGGACCAGACTTAAATCATGAATAGAATGATGGTGGTCAGGATGGTGAGTGGTAATTAGAAATTCTGACTTTTCTTTTGGGGTAGGGTTGGCAGATTTAACAAATAAAAATGCAGGATACTTTTTAAAATTGAAATTCAGATTAACAGTGAATGATATTTTTGTATAAGTATGACCCATGCATACTTTTGTGATATTCTTATACTAAAGTTTATGTTATAGTTGAGACATTCTTAAACTGAAAAAAAAAAAAAGTTGTCTGAAATTCAAATGTGATTTGGTGCCCTGCATTATTAATTTTTTTGGCAAGCTTATTTTGAAGGGATATATGTAAATAAGATTATAGAATGTTTCATGAAGCCATTTGATGGGCCCTTGGATCTTTCCAGTTTGAAAATAAACTCGGCATCTGAGAATAAAATATTTTGGAAAAACACAGGGAATGGAAGCAAATACTATTGAATGATGATTCACAGAAGCAATTTTAATCATTGCAATGAAACAATGGTATAAAGCTGATGTTCTCCCATGTAAACTACCACTCAGTTTACAATTAAAACTTAAAAAAAAATATATTTTTTGCAAGCTATTTAAGTCACAGAGTGATTTTGAAACGTAAAATTTCCTCCAAATGGGTAAAAGCTTCCATGGATTTTGAAACTTAAATTATTTTGACTCTACTTTTTTTTTTTTTTCCCCCCTTAGGGAACAAAATTATCTAAAAAGAAACAAAGCACATAAATATCCTGTAATAAATGATCCCGGGTTTTGCATGTTTTGTTGTTGTTAGATGCTGGTTGGTCAATTTTGAGTCATGGTGACCTAATTTGTGCAGAGTAAAACTATGCCATAGGGTTTTCAAGGCTATGGCCTTTTGGAAGCAGATTGCCGACCTGCCTTTTCAAGTACCTCTGGGTGGGTTTGAACTGCCAACCTTTTGGTTGGTAGTCCCACACTTAACCATCAATGCCATCCAGGAACTCCTAAATTTAGCCTAGTCAATACTAGAGTTACTGAGTGGACACCAGTTGATGAAAATGAATGCAGTGGAGACTTTTACATGTTTAGATAATGATTTCATTTTTTCTAGTTATGGTGTTTGCTCTTCATGATGTGATAGGAAGATATGGTCAGAAGGATCCTTCTCCAGGGCCCTCAAAGAGAAACCCCTGCCCCGGTTAAGTGACCAATCCATCCCTTTTTCTGAATCAAAGTTGGAGAGAGGGAATGTGGATTTGCTTGTGGCTAACCAAAGGGGAGGCAATAAGAGGCCTATAAGAGGCAGACGGGAGCAGTGTTTCTGTGTAGGTCCCTTCCCTAACATCCTGTTCCAGCTACTCTGTTCCTCTGTAGAGAATGGGACCTAGACTAAGAGTGGGCAACTTCACAATCCATTTGAGGAGAAAGAGTTCACTAGCTACAAATACTGGAGCAGTCTCCCTCTTCTGGGCAGGAAAAGGTATTAATCAAATGACATAAATAATGGGGTAACATGTAATGAGGCCTCATAAACTAATCTTTATTTTTCTTTCTCTTGACTTGTTTTCTCAAATAGAGATTGAAAAGGATCAAATCTAAAGTGGCTTCCTCTGGTTTTCCTTACATATCATACTGTTTATTTTCTTCATGCCACTTATCACAATCTGCAGTTACTTTGTTTACTTGTCTTGTTATCTGCCTGTCAACTAGAAGAAAAGCTCCATGTCTTATTGATTGCTGTACCCCCAGTGCCTGAATTCAGTGCCTTTGTAACTTTGTTGATTGAATGAAGAAATAAATAAATACAACTTTCCTCCAAGATCATGAAGGGCAATGTCAAATTATGTTGAGCTACATGATTGCTTTAGAAAAAAATAGTGGCAAAAGAAGAGAGAAGATTCAGCATATAATGTGGTGGCATTTGGTCAGTTGACCTTTTTCTTGGCAATTGACAAGTAAGCTGGTTTACAAATGCCACCAGGTTATGGCCTAGAAATATCTGTTTAGGTGTTGTTGAGTGCTATTGAGTTGGTTATGACACATAGCGACTCTGTATAGGGTTGCTGAGGAGTGACTGGTGAGATTGAACCATGGACCTTGTGGTTCAAACTGACTGTGTGGTCCTGTGCTTTATCCTATAGCGCCACGCCAGGACTCCTGTTTAGGTAATGGTTGGCTATCAATCTTACAGGACTTCTTCATGATAAATCTGACATGGAGAAGGTCAAGTAAGCATGTGTGTGTGTGTGTGTATATAGATATATATAAAATGTGTATATATTATGTGTGTATATATATATACACATACA